CGGATGGCCGAACACATTCCAAAGTGGTTAGTGAAGTCAGTGACGCAACCTATGTCTAGTAATCAGATGGTCACACGTAACCCGGGGTCATCAATTGCAAAACACCTCATGACAACCAAACCGTTGTTACGTAACCACAATGTAAAAGTGTTGGCAATAAGTGAGGCCTTACTGATCCGATCACATAACCCCGTTCTGTGTGCCCAAAAGTTGTTAATCCAATCAATTCACTTGCCGTGGAGTTGACCTATATTTTTTTTAAATGCTAATAGCCCCTGTCTAACTGTACATGTCCGTTCTCTACGATTTTTACAATTTTTACAATTTCAATGTGCTATAAACGTGCTTGTTTGTTTTACGTCAGCGATTGAGAAGATTAAACGAAATGTTAACATCTCGCGACATATGTCTTATTTCGGTCTTGATACGATGGATAAAGGGGACCCAGTCTTTCAAATGTACTGTGTTGGCTTACGAGCCCTTAACAATATTGAGAATTAGCATTATGATCTGAATTCGGTTTTATCACAGAGTTCCAACAATGACTATGGTCCGAAAATATTTAAGACTCATTAGCACTAATGCAAGAGCTTCCGGGCTGTGTAGTTCACAGCCAGCGATATGTGCACGCGATATGTGATAATCCCAACTTGATTCATTCCATGCTGATAGATCGATCAAATATGTTCAATCCCTATTGGTTGCTTTATCCATTTTAAACTTTTTTTCATGGAGAATATGAACTGCTTGCGTTTTTCATCCTTTTTTACAAGTGAGGTGCTCCAGACTGTCCGCAGTCCAACACCGTGCTTGTTCTCAGAACTGTTCTCTGTACTGAAATACACCAGTTCCAGACTGGAAGTTTCGGAAAGCATGTATGGTTTGTTCTTAGAATTTTGTAGATATTCCGTCTGTTTTACTTTTTTCCTATTCTGCTTTCATTGAACCACAATATACTGGAATGGTATTGTTGTCAAGGTAACTGATAGTTGGAGACGATGAAGGCCACGCAGAAAGTGGACGAGTATGGGCATCTATTTGAGTGATTTGCTAGTGTATATTTTATGTTTCTGTTACCAGTGGAGATTACTTATTGTTTTTTCTTCCTTCGTCTTATCTCAGTCATGCAATGTGTACATTGGGTTCTAACGCCAAGCAAGAGGGAGAGATCTAATAGATATACTTCTAGCTTGCATGACCTGCTTGCCACTCGAAACCCCTAATCAGCACCTTTGTGTCTGCAAGCACAATACACACCATCCTCACTGCCAACACCAACATCATCTACCGTTGTCTTATTATATATATATCTGTAGATCAGTGAGCTTCGTATAACTCCCCGTTTGATCTCGGACGAAGAAATTCTCGACGACCTCAGCAATCTGATAAGCGCTAATCTGTCCACCTGTGCAGTCTGTTTCACAGGCGAGGCGAAATTTTGCTGCCTGTCTTCTCTTATTAGTTATCGTCAAAATTCAAAGGCATTCATGTTGAGTTGCGTTCTAACTGATAACTTGAATATCCAAATGGAATGCATCCATTCCCGGACGGGAAGGAAGATATGCACTAGTGATGAGAGCAAAACTGGGACCCAGAGTTCCCTGAATGTATGACTGGCTAGACCTAGGACAGCATGTGAAGGTGAGCTGTGAAAAATGAGCAGTCCCAATAAATGTCACTTAACCCACCCGACTACTCACAAGTAACAATGGGTTAAATGTAAAAAATGAAAATATACCAAATCTACTTATCGTTCTCTTTTTGTCGTTTCATCTATTTATTTTTCTGAAATGTTCTGTATTTTTAATTCTTACTTCGATGCTCCCTTCAACCGTTTTTCCCTGTTATATTTGCATAAGAGCTGTGTCTAAAACACAAATTCAGTGGCTGATAGTTTGAACCGAAATGATACAAAATCAATAACAGTGAACCGATATATTTGGCCGCCACTGCCGCTGTCGTCATCGATTCCGACTGGCCGTTTACCTTTCAGACTTCATCTTCACGCAAAATAATTGAGTCTGGTTATTGATACAGCTTATAAGTAGCGCATATCCAACGGGTCGTCCAAAATATAGACCGCGGTCCCCTTGCTTGTAATACGTATGCTACGAGCTCACGCTGGGACTGATCCGAAGTGCTGATTCAAGTTGGTTTAGAGGTCACTCTAAGTTTCTTCAGCCCGACAGCTTTGAACGTAGACCCTAATGCATTCTGTTAATTTCAGTCGAGAACCTTTCAACAGATCTGGTATAACGCGCACAATAAATGTATTACACCCAGTAGGCTTATTTTGTTTTGGATGTGATGTTTGGATATACCATATGAATTTCACAGACACTATGCACTGTTCATGGTCAATAATATTTATCCTGCCTCACTACTCATTCCCAACTGCAATTTGACGGGATGATAAAAAAAGAAAAGCCTTATTTTTGTGAAAGAACTTCTGGGTGATTACCATTTAGGTGATCTGGTCAATCTTTCCTACCTTATTCGGACTCGTCTACTTTGCCTACTTTTTGTGCCCCGAAGGGGTTCAGACAGTGAACGTTCATCTTGGGAATCAATTTTGGTTTGAGTCACAGAAAAAGTTTTATTATGGGAAATACTTACAAGCGGTTACGTTTCTTGTCCCTTAGGGTTTAGCATACATGGTTCGATTTACGGTTCATCGATGGATGAGAATTGGCACAAATTATCTTTCCTTTGCGCACTGTTTTGTGCTGAAATCTAAGAGTTTTCAATGTTTTGTCCATTTTGTGCTTGGAAGAATCAATGGTGGGCGCAAAAACAACATGAGATTGCAAAAAATTCCAAATACTGCACAGTCTAAGGACATATAAATGACACTGGCATTCCAGTTGACATTTTCGGAGCAGTAGTTTGAATTAGTGCCCCCTGATGTGAGTAATGGGCGACAAGGCGAACAGTGAATGATCAGGGATATGCGTTATTTGATGCACCAAACTCAAGTCTGCTTGAATTCGGTGATACTGTGTAGAGTACAGCCCCAATGACTCCAGTTATTCCTCATACGTCTTGGAATGCATTCCATGGACCATTTTGGTGGCTATTGTTTATGGCCGTTCCAGAATCTTACGACCGCGTTGCAGCCACGGATTCCACGCTTAAATGAAACACTTCATGTGGGGTCGAATGTAGGCTGATAACAAACGTGAGAATAGCACAGGTTAACTGTAAATAAGTATTCATTCTGATAGCTAGTATAATCAAGTTTTTAAACATAAAAATAGACCTTTTAATAAAATTTAAATTGCTTGATAGGATAACGCACTAGGCTTCTTTTTTGCGAGCATTATTTGGCAAACCAACTGGTTTCCAGTGCTTCATCGACTGACGAAATATCCTACGCTTCATCAGTAACCAAATATGAACAAGAGGTGCGGAGATAAGTGAGCAGTTGTCCACATTGAAGTAAAATGACGTTCCTTTGATCACCTTTATGCGCGGAGTGTGTGCCACCCCACCCCACTCCCTGCTTTGGATGAGATAATGCACGAGTGAATGACAACATGAACCAAAACTATCAGTTGTTCATGGGTACTACTCACACATCAAATGAAATGGAAAGTCACCAAACACGTTACAATATAGTACACATGTACAGGTAGCTCTGCTGTTGTCCGGTTCAATGCCACGCCTAACCTATCGGGGCCTTATGTGGTTCACCACTCCAAGTCCCGGGTCTTAGGTTGCGGTTTCCACCACTGGAGAGCAGGTCCTCGTGACTATGGGGATTACTCCGTCTGCTGTTCATCACACTCAGGTGTGTAATAAAAAAGGTCATTCGGTTCATTCGAATCCGTCAATCACATGAACAACTCTTTTCCTCGTACTCTCAATGTTTCTGGTGGTTGCGGTCTTTCTATATTATGCTTCTTAACAAACTTTGCTTCCCCTGTTATCAGTTTCACAATTTGCCCGGTTCACAAGTGTTTTATTTTCTTATAACTTCCATAATTTTGTCATCCGATCCGACATAGATCTCACGACAGGCCAATCTTCGAGCGTGGTTTGTGATCTTGTGGATTGTCGAAGGATTATGGTTTGCCCTGATCACATTCTTTATAGTCGTGTGTGGTTTGGCTGGGGGAATGTACTATGCTCCGGCTATATTCATGGAACCCGGAGTGCCTCCCCGAGCGATGTACGACTTCTCGCTGGTCGGTGTGGCCAACTACGTTTGTATCTGGATTGCGGTTAATGTGCGCATTGCGATCCTGACACGTCACATGAACTACATGATGGTGATTGGATTTCTGATCACCCTAGTGAATATTGGGATCCTGTTCCTCTATCAAGTAAGTCAGCTTTGACCTTGATTTATTGCACCAGAGTGACTTACTGAATCCAAAGATTGAATAATATTGTTTACCACGTCTAAAAGGCATATCGGGAGTAAACACAGCAAGTAGACAGGTGTGTTGATTCAGACTTCCGTGACCGCAATCCATGCACGACTAGGTACAGTTTCATATCATCCAATCACCGTTCAGGAAGCTCGACCAATGGTACACCGGGCGAACATGACATCCGAGTTAGCACATATGATACGTCGGTGCAAATGGTTACATGATTGGAGGATGCTCGTTCAACCAATGATATGAACTATTAAATTCTATAAAACATGATCTAATTCCATCAATAAACATAAGCATTTGCTGCTATCCATTCCTCGTGTATTTCATTGGTGTCCGCAGTTCGGGTTGGAGCCAATTCAGTTCTGAGCAGTACAGTACGGATTCTCGTATTCCTAAACTCAATACTATTCCGACTACCACAAGAGGTCTTAATTGACACTATAGATTGACCAAGTGCTTTTGTATGCATGCGCACAGTCACGAACACATTCGGTCGCACCAACGTCATCTGAAGCCTGACTTTCGAGACCGACAAGCAGTTTCGAAGTTGTAGGTCGTTCGGTTATTTTCCACTCACCCTGTGTGCTTACTGATCATCAAATTGAAACCGTCTATAGGGGAACAATTTATCAGTGATATCTACTACTTCAATTTCAGTGTCCTTTTTGTTGCTTATGATACCGGTCCACGGTAGATAGAACTCGGCCAGTTTTTATCACATTCCAAATAGCTACCGAAACGTTTCTAATAACGAAGCTCTTTCTCTCAACTGCACTGTGTTCATCTTTAGTCAAACTGACAAAAATAATCCAGCCAAATATGTGAACTGTGCAACTGCTTTCGGGTTCCGTTTACACATCACATATGTAAATCAATTCACCCCCGTAACTCATGTGCGTCAAAGGATATTCCACAACAGTCTTTTCTGTCCTCTACACCGCTCAAGGCAAAGTTGTGTGTATAGTTAAAATGTATAATTCAAATTGGCATTATTAACTTCCATGGCGAAACTTGGAATCTTAAATCGATTAGTATCTGTATTTTCTCGCTACTCAAATATGTTCAATTCTATTGAACCGCTCGGACAAGGCGTGCAGTAACTGACAGTGATAGACATCCATTGACAATGACCAACAGTAGGCGTTTATATGAAATCCGTGATTTGAACTGCAATCTATGGGATTCACGACCCCAAATGGTTGAGTTTGGGCTTTCGTTAGCTCGAAGAACAGGCGCAGTTAATGAATCTTAAATCAAGAGTAAAGAAAGCTGTTCATTGCTTTCAGAACTTTGCACTGATCAAGCGACTTACCCTCTAACTGTTTGCTCGTCCGTAACTTCGATAGATACTTTTATAACTCGGATCTCAGTAGAACATTCTCTGATTTTATTTTCTCAAGCAACTCACAGTTCATTTGATCAACTGTACACTCGTGAAGCCCGCAGCTCCTGTTTCGCCCTGTGTGAACTCTACAACGGCACACATTCACTGAGCAATCCAGATTTCGAATCACAAATTTCCAATTTAGTGGTCATTCGTGGGGCTATTGTGGTAACTCTGGCTGTGTATAATTTACGAGTTAAGTTAGCGTTCAAATATCATTTTCACTGCCGTTATTGATGGAAATGTTGCTTTGTTGTTTTTGTTGAACAAAGTGTAGAAAATATCATTTCGGGTTGTGCCGAGAAGTTCCATGTGCCTTGTCCGGTTAGCAAATAAACTTCCAACATAACGCCAGCAATTCGGGAATTAGCACGTCCTTGACCATCAAGTCTTGTTTGTTTTCTCTGCAACCTGGAAGATTGCTATCACACGCATGATGCGTATCTGAAATGGCCCATGTAGTTAACCGATTTTTCTCTGGGTATTAAGCAAGTATAACTTTGATGAGCTTTTGAATAATGCTCTAAATGATAGTATGCGGCAAGACAGCACTGGTGACTGAGCGGAAACCGTCTATCAACAGTGAAGCTCCTTTCATATCACTGAATGTCAATATGCCTATACTTGTTTCATCTTTTTATCCATACTCCCCATATTCTCCTCTTTACAAAATAGACTACTTGTGGTTATGAAAGTTTGGAATATCTGGCGTTCGTCAAATTGGCCCGTAGTCCAGCATTTTGGTTCAGCTTGATGCTGTCTGTATTTATTGCCAATTTCTCGTCAATAATATGGCGCATGGCCTCGGACACATGGTGGACTTCACAGATCCGTCTGAGCGAAATTCCCCAACGTAAAATGCGCAAGAAGAGACGACGAAGTCCACGATTTTGGTTTGAATCATTGGTCGACGGACAACGGGACTACAGACCGATGGGAAATAACTGAACAGATCTCCCGTGAGGACAGGTATTGACGAAGGGTCGAAGCAAGTTCCGCTTTCCCGGGGATGGAAATGCAATTTGGATTAAGAGTAATTCAGCAATGACCGCAGAGTGAACGAATAAAGAGCTTAGAGAATCATTCACTTTGAAACGGAATTCACAACATCCATGACTATTATTTAATGAATGTGTTTGGAGAACTTTCTCATCGTTATTTCATATTCGGATCCTGCATCAACCAACCTCTATCCACGCTGAATGTAATCTCTAACCGGTTGATATTTTGTACGGTGTTCCTATTTATTTTATTATTACTATTTTGTTCCTTTTCTCATTTTCACACGCAACCCCATACACACACTTTCACAAACACAGAAAACAGAAAGATGGAGCAACCATTGCATTCCTCAGAACAAATTTTCTCATCTTACTTGATCTCAACCCCAAATAATGACTCATTGATGTCCCCGACACGCCTAGTCCCATAAAGACTAATCAATAATGAATTTTGAGTATGCAAAACACTTGACTGTACAGATACTTTTATTCCATTGAAGTGAATTAAACGGAGGAACAACATCAACATGAACAAATTGTTTGATGCGAGACACTCTTATTTTCTTTTCTGTTGGATGGGGACCACTACGGGCACCGGAACATTCGGTGCCAAATTATGATCTAAAAGTTGACTGAAACCTGCCTTTTAGTAACGTTCATAGTTTGTATCAGCTTGAATAGAACTCACGTAGGAGTTTGCTCAGATAATCGGTCACATAACCGTTTTTCTGTTCTACCGTTGTAGATGTCACCCAAACCGCACTAAAATTGAAACATTTGGATCCCGTAATGAATTTGAACAGACAAGTCAGAAGACAAACACTGCGCGAGGAATTCCTTTCGTATACTCTCATCGGTCGCGCACGTATAACATCGAACATGATAGACAAATGAAGCGAATTAAGAAATCTAGTTAGTATTAACCATGTGTGCGCGATTGTGTACAGTGTGTGATGCACGTGATTGGTTACAGCCAGGGAAGACCAAGGGTAAAGGTCATACGTTTTTGGATGCACCGTGTGGGTTTGTTATGAGCGATCGATATTGCCTCGAGTATCCTTAGTCGGTGTTTGCCTTGATGACGTAACAAAACCGAGAACGCGTTCGTAAGGTCTACCCTATGACCTCTTTCAACCAAGTGACGTGCGCTGGTCGAAGCCGGTCTGCGTGATGCGGTCAGAGTGTGTGGTGTGGGCTGAGTCATAGAGTCGCGCACATACTTGGGGGTGTGTTCAGCCATTCTAGTTCGCAGTGATCGGTCGGTTCTACCAGTGTATACTGCATTGCATCTGCAACAGAAGGCGTAAGTGCAATGAGAGTTAGACTCGACTGGACGACGATCTTTGAATGGGGAGAGGGGGTGACGCCGTGTGATCGGACGAAGGCTTAATGCGGCAGCGTAGTAGGTCCTTTGTGACGCGTTTTTGATACGCTATGTGAAAAGCTGCATTATTGACTTCCCTTTGTACGGCAGCGAGATGTGGATATTCCTTTTTGGCACTCGAAGGGTAGTGGCTTGAGTCCGGTTTCCTATCCGACTATAAAAACGAACGAAACCTTCCGGATAACCATTTGCCCGTAATGCTGTATAGCTATTCTCCTGTTCACTTAGTATTGTGTCCTCTGTACATATTTTTCTCGCCCTGTGGAATAATGTTCGAACCAGGGCTCTCTTGTGTTCTATTGGTGAGAANGAAGATAGATCGTTGGATAGAACCGTCACTTTTACGGGTTATTAGGACATCAAGGAAAGCGAACGAATTTGCCTTCACTTCACAGGCATTGTCGATCGCTCACAACAAACCCACACTGTGCATCCAAAAACGTATGACCTTTACCCTTGGTCTTCCCTGGCTGTAACCAATCACGTGCATCACACACACTGTACACACACACACATGGTTAATACTAACTAGATTTCTTAATTCGCTTCATTTGTCTATCTTGTTCGATGTTATACGTGCGCGACCGACGAGAGTATACGAAAGGAATTCCTCCCGCAATGTTTGTCTTCTGCTTTGCCTGCACTAAAATTATTTCCTAAATTTGTATTTGGATTGTACAGGTAAGCGGTCCTCAACCGTACAGGTGACTATGCGTGTAGTTCTATACACATGTTTGATTGTGAACAACCCCAGACTTCAAGCCCGAATTGGTCATTCATGTTGCGTCATTTTTCTGGAACAAAAGGCGAATCACGACCGCCGATCTGAGCACTAACGTAACAACCGGTTTCTCGACGCTTGGTATGCTTCATTTGTCGATATACTCTGTAGTACAGCCGTTTTGCATAGTAAAATTGCGTAATAACCGGAATTAAGCTGCTATCGCAGATGCTTCACGCACCATCGAGCGAGGTAAGGAAAAGAAAAGTTTTATACGTCAGAGACAGTTACCACGGTAAGCTGAAATTTCGAAAGCGGTTAGTTTAGCGCTTCGTTGAGACTACTTGCTTGCCACAAACTCTGGGTGACCAAGGATGCGGCATTCACATACTGTCAATCTCCTGTTATACCGCAGCCCTCGAAGATTTGACAAAGTGCGTAAATTCCAAAAACTGTTACATGGAATGTTAGTCAGTAGTATATACTTTTAATTAGTATGAAAAACCAATTGAGATAGTTGTGATAAACTAAACAGGATGGAAAAACTAAGTTGAGTGTTCATTGGTTATTTAAAGCCGAAATTGAAATATGCAGTTTTACGTGGTCCTTCTGTACCGAGGAAATGTTCAATGTTCTTCAGTTAGAGGCAGAGGGTAATTTCCCGTATGAGCCTCATCACCA